ATCAATTATGATTTATAACGACCTAAATTCCTAACACACATTTGAAAAATACATACTACACTACTTTCTTAATGAAACGACAAATAAGTACGGTGTTTTTTTCTCATAACCTTTACCATCGCCTCAACGCATCTGAATCTACAAATTTGAACCAGGTGTTCAAATTATGGATCTTTTGTTCTGATATCTATATTTAAAGTTTTCAATCACAATTTAAGACTGATTGCCACCTCGTCTGACCCCAAACTTGAAAACAGCAATCAACATAACTTGGAGTAGAAGCCAGGACAAATCCATGGCTTAAACGTTATCAACAATCTAGAGTTTGCCTCACAAACTTCCTAACAATCACAAGCCTTTGTTATGCTTTTGTTATTTCCGCTGATAATAGGACAACACAAAGATATCTGCGAGTTATTCATAGTGATTATCAAGCACTTCATATTCTAACAATCAATGTTTAATACCATGATAAAGTACTGTTCCGAAAATGAGCCCTCAGGTAAATTTACATTGCACTGATAGGCTTCTGTTGTTATAAAGCATAAGCCAATGAAAGCGTACGCATTTAGTAGTAAACAGAAGGCACATGATATGCTATTGTAAACACACAACAACAAACATGCAATTGTTGTACACAGTTACTATTTAGAGCAAAGGTATTATTATAATACCCAAAAAACTTGGTGTTGCCTATGCCTTAATGACACAAAATTCTGCATGATGATTTTTCAAAATTACACTTTGTAAGCTTTCAGTAAAAACATCAATTTTAAGCCTTGTGGTTTCACTTTAATTAACCAAAATGCGTAAGGGGGAAGGCTAACATTGAACCCTACAATTTGCTGATCGACCGACCAAACTTGATTGATTTCTGAATGCTAGGTTATGTTCACACACACACCAGCTAGAGCTGGGCATTCACTGCGCCTGATAGTCGTCGTCCGACGCGATTCTATGAATGCAACGCCATGACGCGCGCAATGGATCATTTTTAATGACGATCCATTCTGACTGCCACAGACAATCAGCAGACGGCATCGCGTCATACAGCGCTCACAGGGACGCAGTGAGTTTCCGGCTTAACAGTTAGCAGGATCCAGTTAAATAACATACGTGCTCACTCTTGCGTTCATAAAAGAAAATCTCCGATCCAGATATCAAGATGATGTTGGGATCACTGGCTAATAGGAAACTGGGAATTGGAAATGAGTACGTGTGATTGGTTAATTGGCTCAACTTGTTAACCGATAGCGCCCGCTAACCGTTAGCGTAATCCAGATCTTGGTAACGGTTAGCGCTAACGGATTGGGCGTTCTTACATGGGTGGTAACAGTTAGTGCTAATGGTTAGTTCCAGATTTGGCTCTAATGTGAACATATTAACCTCAGTGTGCTTATGCAATACAATTTCTTTTTTGCTTTAAAAACCTACCTACCTTTATGGTAGTTTCTTACATAAACTACAGTATTTTTGTTTTGTTCGAGTTTGTTTAGAATAATTAAGTTAGTTTAAGATTTAAGTCTAGTTTAGATATTTGTGCGTTTAAACAATTGTTTGATTTGCTTATTTTAAGTCATTTCATTTTTTTTCCTGGTTAAATTGTTGTATACACGGCCTTGCAGAATAACAATCTGTTAGTTGAGCCAAGTTTTCCGTGTTTTAAATAAAGCTTATTCTTAACTAATACTTGAGCACTGTACTCTACATAGTACTGTACTCATGAAAGTATGCAATGTACCATAGGAAGGGAGAAATTGGAAGGGATGAGGATATAGCTTAGATACAGATCAATTTGGAGAGGGGTAAAATATACAGTCAGGAGATAACTGGTATTGTATGTGAATAGGTGAGATATTTTTCTGAGATATGGGATGAGATATAGAATGCATGATGTAATCATGTGGTGTGCATAGGGGGTAGAATAGGAGGAAATAATGATAATGGGTATGATATGAAAACGAATGAGGTATTATAATAATATTGATAATAAATCTGATACAGGAGTCCCAAGTTGTGAAAGTAAAATTCCTGAAAATTTGTTGTCATGCACGACAGGCAGAGGTATGCGACGCGTGTAGTAGCTAAAACGCATGCACAACTTTGGACACGTGCGTACAAATTTATCTCCTTGTTCAATATAAAAACAAAGAGACTTGGGCAGATTTAGGTCACTGTTAATACCTTATTACTACCTAAAATGTTCAATAAATTTTATGCCAGATTTAATACAAAAGAATGGGAAAATTTAGCTTAGCGTAAGCCCTAATTGTGAAAATCTGTTAAAATCCTGGAGACAGAAATTCAAATTCCGTGAGAAAATATGGAATTTCCGGGAGACTGGGAGATGAACTGAAATTCCTGGAGACTCCAGGGCAATCCAGGAGGCTTGGGAGCCCTGATACTGTGCACATTACACAAATTTCTCAATGGACTTTTATAAATAATAATTTAAGACAAAAAAAATAATAATATAAATACAGAAAATAAATAAATTAAATAAACAAATAAATAAAAACAAAGAGAGGTATAGAAAAAAATACAATAATACAAAATACAAGATACCATGGGAAAAATGATATAAGAAAGAATGCTGGGAAGGAATTAGGGTTGTGGAGAGATAAAGTAGGAAAAGATGAGATAATGAAAAGGAATCTAAGATGGATTAATAATATTGAAAGGAAAGAAATAAGAAAGGGACGGAGTAGTGGGAAATCAAAATCAGTGGGTAGGGGAAGATAAGGATATTGCTGATAGAGGTAAGAATGGAAAAAAGTAATTATGGAAAAAATGAATAGGAGAAAAGAATGATTTGGAAATAAAAAGGATTAGAAATGAATTTGTTTGGAAAAGGAAGGTGACTGTTGCTGGTAAAGTATAATGTGCATTTTTTGGTTGTGATAGATGACAGATTGAGGGTAGAGGTAAGGATTGAGATAGAGGAATGGATTCAAAAGAACAGAGGTGAAAGATAAGTCTTATGGGGAAAATGAATAAGAGAAAATACAAGTAATAGATCTAAACAGATTGGATTTTAATATACTTGAACAAAAATGAAAAACCAAATTCCATTAAAACTCTCGAATATTCTTTTCATAAGATGACCTTGAAAAGAAAATTGTCTTGAGGATCGAATAGATATAACAGCGAAAGAATGAAGACATTAACAGTAATTGTCTACATATTTGGGTACTCAATGGCATCAACAATTCATTGGAACGAATCTAAAAGATCATTAACTAACAAAAATAGCACAAAACACACCTGAATAGTCTGACAAAATGTAATTTGATGTCGGAATGCAAAAGTGAATGTTACCAATAATATATAATAATTTTGTATAATGCTATGTTCGTAAATCCTTTGCAAATTTAAATGCCCTGGTAGAACCAATGAAAACCACATCTCATAAAAAATTAAAAATTACAATTATAATCATCGTGACTATTGTAATGATAACGGTATCGATAATGAAAATAAAATTAGCAAAAAAATAAAATACAAATAAAATAATAACAATAGCATCAACAAAATAAAAATAACTGAAATATTAATAATAATAATAATAGTAATAATAAATCTAAGTAATAAAAATAATAGCAATAATGACAGACAAAAATAGAAAACAACAATTCTAATAATAATATTTATGATGCATATCCATTCTCAAAGTCCCTAATAACAATAATATTAATAATAATTATAATAATAACAACAATAACTAATAATAATGACAATAATAATGATGATAATTGATATATAACAATAATAATAGATAATAAATAATATTTTAAAAAAACCAATATTGACGATAATGAGAATAAGCTTTTATAGTCAAAAGTCCTGCTAATACAGCCAGAGGAAACGTAAACAATAGTGTGCAATGATGTGGATGAACTAATTTGTGTAGTAATATAATTATATCAAATGGTGTTAATTCCAGGTCAAATTCGAAAAAAATCCAAGTCAAAATCAAAGCTCCTACAGATTCATAAAATAATATTAATAAAAATGTTTTCAAGAAATATATGTTTATAAATTTCACATAATTTTCTCAAGTATACACTGTGTTCTAGCATTTTGTAATATTGAGGTCATGTTCAAAAGCCATACGAGTGGAAAAGAGACTGGAAATTAATAAAATTAATATTAGAAAATAGCCACAATACCTATAAAAAAAAACAAAAAAACCCTGAAACATCATAAGAAAATAATAACTGTTTTACTAATATTAAAAAATATAATTTATAATTTTGCATATATAGTAAATTATCGGATATTCTTTAACATTTTAAAAAATATTTTTAATACCTCAATTTTTTTTAATGTACTGTAAACTGGAAAACAAATGATTAAAATATAAGATTTATCAATTTTTTTCCTTTCATTAAAACTAACTTTAATTTCATGATCCTTGAACGGTATTTTAAAATGTTTTTATGAACTTAAAAATAAGCATATGATGATGCAGTACAAAACACTGAAGCATAGCAATCAATGATAGAGCGTTACATGATGATGAAAATTTATTTAATAAAAAGTTCAATAAACAAAACAAAGTTGGAGCATGTCTGGAAAGCAATAAAGTTGATGGTTAAATAGCAACAATTCAACAACAATAGCATGAATGCATTGTTTCCCCCATCTTTAATCCTGGATTCTATTCTGATTATCATTGCAAGAAGTGTTAGTAATATCCTCAACTCTCGCCCTTCTATAATAGTAATCTACATGATCATATTGGATAGATGATAACAACCACATTAAAGACGTTTGACAACAATGAGGTGTGTTGTAAAGGTAATATATATTTCAAGTCATATTAAGCTAGCGACTTTTCAGTCAAGCATTCCGTAAAGTCTAACGACCTCAATTTATCCGCTTGATGACGACATACATTATATACTATTAGACTATTGTATACGGATGTTATTAATCATCTTATAGAAAACACTGTTAATTAAAACACTTCTTAATCATCATTCTGTGTTTATAAATACCTGTTAGTGTTATTAAAAAGTCAACCCGAAAGGGAACTCTGATTTTACGAGTGTTGCCGAGATGAGAAGATGTTGGATTTCCCCGCTGCTGTCTTAAAATCGTCTTGCTGTCTGGCGGCGTAGTGTTTTCGTCTGGTTTATCATTCACCAAGGCATAGGCCTAGCATCCTTTTGTTATTTAGCGATAGATAATCTCTTCAGTAAATAACTGTTTGTTTAGCCAGTTATTTATTGACTACGATATGGTAATGTAACAGATTATCAAAATCAGTATCTCTACTAGCTTTTGCTCGATGGTTTCGTCAATACTCTATTATCTGATTTACAAACTCATACAAATCCATTGAAACAGTTTCTAATAAAACAGCGCCATCATCCTCGGAAAAGTTTTATAGCTTTTACGACCGGTACATTTCATCCCAGTTTCGTATCACTGTCTTTTTGTTGTTTGTGATTTGTTTATAATTTTAAACGACTTTTTAATGTTATTTAATGGCTAGTTGGCCGACATCTTTAGTTGAAACATAGCAAAACAATAATCGTTAATGAAATATATATAGGCCTGAATAATTTTGCAATGTCTCAATTACAACTACTGTACTTGATTTAAATAAAATTAATTGTTAATATTTATATTTTTGAACAATAGTAACTTGGATTAAACACAATTGCAATTGAGTACCCCACAAAGGACTAAGTTCAACAAAACACTTATGTAATTTTGTTTTAAGTAGTCTTAAGTCATGAATCTTATATAACTTTTATATTTTTGTATTGCGCTGGTAATATGCGAAAAAGATTGTTTTTCAGAGGTTTTTTTTTTGTTTTTGTTTTTGTTTTTTTGCGAAGCAGCTGCGGAATGGCGTATTCATTGTTTTGTTACTACACAAGCAGAACAACACTTTACTGAACTGATAACAAACAAAAAAAAAAACAACATTGTATACATAACGACAAAACTTTCCTAGTTGCGTTTCGTAGTTCGGGTCACGTACCCGATAAAGCCGTTAGTAAGTACGTAAGTATGAGCGAAATCTTTGACTCCTCGTGTTTGCTCTCACCAACTGAATTAAAATACTGCGGCTCCATGCTCAGTGTTGGACATGTGAATTGGTTTTTCTGAGAGCGCGTACCAATGTTGTTATAGAGCCCTCGACGCGCGTTGAGAACTGTACTCGGTGCACGTAACCTAACGGGAACTGAAAGAGCTACTTTAAGTCTTTTTTGTGGTATGAACCGTTGTAAGATGGGTGAACTAAGTGTTTGTTGAGATATTTTCTCACAAAATAAACATTGTTCGTCTAATGTTACACTCAAATAGTAGTAAATAGGCCTAGGTATTGAGAGAATGTAATGACGACAGTTTAATATACTGTAGACACCCATGGATTCACCCATGGGCCTACGTATATAGTGCGAGTTCATGGTGGTCATTGCTATTAACAATCATTAAATAATATTAAATGTTTCGTGTTGAATTCACATACAACAATGAGTGTCCAACTACATAAAATGACCAATATGGGTTACAACATTTATGTCCCTCAATGATTCTAGATCGTTGTGATATTATTTGAATTTCCGTTGAACATGCTTCATAATTTTGCGAACTAATACCCAACCCCGTCGGCTCTACCCCGTACCAAGCTAACCCATCAATTTTTATTATTTTCTTTTGCATCAGAACATTCCCTGTGGCTCTTTCGTTGATAGTTGATTGACCATTGTTTGACCTTAACACAGCACTAGATAATAATAACGAATTTGCATAAATTGAATATTATCAGTTACTTAAATACAGTATTGTTCTATTGTTCGAGTGCGTCCAACCTTGACTGATTTCGAGAACAATTTTCAAATTAGAATATTGTTGAGCGATATAGCAAATCAAATAAAGTATAAAATATTGATTGAATTGTGGTTAAAATTAAGTGGTGAGAGGGCTTTTTATTTTGTAATTTTGCAATATAAGACATCTTTCTTAACTTCTTTTTTTTTTTAACGTCTAAGGTATGTATAGAGAAACAATAGAAGAAAAGTTATAGAAAGAAATTTCAGTATATATGCCTATAGCATCTTTCTTCAATATATTCATCCAATCTTTGCATAGGATATTTTACATAAAGGCATACAAAGCTACGACTGAATTAACTGGTTAAAAAAAACTCATAAAATACGATAAGATTAATTATGTAAAATATAGGTCCGTGTACAATTAAAAGATTTTAAAGGGTTAAGCACAAAATGTACGTGGAATTTATTAACCGCTTACGGTCATTTTAATTCTCTGCGCTTCCTCCGAGGCCAGTGTATCTGGACCTGCCTAGCAACATGTCGAGAAATGATCAATGTTCGGCGATTTTTTAAAATCTATACTTTTTAAATGTTGACAGAAATAAGTACGGAAAATATTAAATTATCTCGTAGCCTTGTAGCATGACATATTGTACTTGAGACACGTCTGAAATTGTCTCCTGGGGAGGGGCTGTTGAATCAATATTAAACTAATTTCAGAATCAATGTTCTCAAAGTAAGTTTGACGTTATTTAAATATTGATTCATTTATCTTTTTAAGTATGTTGAATATTTTACTACCGTGGTATTGGCACAGACAGTAACGGTACCGGTACCTCATCTCTCTCGTGTGTAGAGATTGAGCATTTTTAACTCAGATTTCCATCTTTATAATTTCCCCAATTGTCTAGCACACACTTCGTTCTGGATTTTTTTTCACTGGTTCGTCCCTATTAGCATTTTAGTTTTGGGACGCCCCCTCGTCTTCTTTTCTCAGTGGTACTTATGTATCCAGTCTTCTGGCAGAAATGTTTCTATAGCTTAACAGTCTCCCTCCAATTAAAGACCACTTTTGGGTCCGTGGTCCGGGTTTCCGGGGTGTTTAGCAGCTTTGGTCTCTAATTAGGTTAATAAAGACATTTGTTAATATGGGACTACAGAAAAGTGGTCTTCAATTGGAGGTGGTCATTAATTGGAGGGGTATTTAATCAAAGGTATTGTCATTGTCGGTTGAAAATGTTCCATTCAAATCGTGTGTGCTCAGCGCCCTTGTTAAATTATACGTGTAAATGTATAATGTATGATATGGTAAAATTCAGACCAATAGCCACACTTTTCTACTGATTCTGCGTTTCCTGATTCTTTCACTTCCAATTTTCGCTGTTATCTTAATCTTTAATAACAATAAAAACAATAACTGCGATAATAATAATGATAATGATAGGCCTACTATAATAATAATAATAATAAAATAATATGCCTATAAATAATGAACAGGCATAAGAATAAGCAATATACCTAATAGTAATATGCATGACCGGTGTAATATACGCCAAGTAATACTCTTAATAGTAATAATCACAAAACAGATTTATATAGCTGACTTGCATATTCGGAAGTCGAAGTCCATAATTCCTTGAGGTTAAATAGACAACTTAACAATTTCATACCTGCCTTCCTAATAGACAAGTGTGATGGATTGCCGTGTCTTGTCAGAATCCTTTTTCTGGAATGCTAATATTAGTTAACATTGCGTGAACACTGTCACTTCTAAGTGTTCTGATGAATAACTCATCTTATCTGTCATTCCATTTACTTGTCGTTATACCCTTCGTTCAGTAACATTAATCGGGAACAACGAGCCAAGCACATTAGGCCTAAACAAAGGAAACGTCTATTTATTGGATTTGACAAAATAAACAAAATGTTTCAAATTAATGAGATTGTAACATAAAACAAACATTGACTTAGTGGTAAATGATCTGTCGGCATTGTATGCTATCTTTTTGGCTTAGAAATAAACTATGCAAAACAAGTGGTCCATTGCAACAGGTCTCAAGACGGCCAATCCGCTCCGGAACACTTTATGTGAGTAGAAAATACAGCAGAAGAATGTTTATAAACACACATAACATAGCAACGTGTCACCAGGGAACAGCACGTAGTACATACACGCGCGCATTCACTTCCGAATTACACGCGTGCATTCACTTCCGAATTACACGCGTGCATTCACTTCCGAATCCCAATTGCCATGGCGCTACACCACGCGCGCATTCACTTCCAATAATAATTATGCCATACCATGGTTCCTGTCAACGTTCTCTTCTTCCTAAGTATAAATCACCTCGAGCTCAAGTTTCAGGTTCCCCAGTTGGATGCATAAAACCAACACGCCTGGTATGATAGAATGTTAATGTTGTACGTCGGTACACCGGAGTAGGGGAAAGGAAAACGAAGAGCACTCATAGGCCTACATTTTAAAATTAAATGATCAAACACAAAGTTTGTAATTATCAATTCAAGATATTTAGTAACAGTTTCATTACGTTACGAGACCAACTGATTCTAAATTCGTATGCGATTACACATAGGTCTACATACTGTATAAGCCTACGTTAATATTTAAAAAAAAAGTTTTATCATCTTCACATAGGGATTGCAGAATCCGGAAGAACAGTAATGTGGGTGTTCGCTTTTGCAAGTTGACTGCAACAATAACATCACCATCATGCATAATATGCATCTACCACCACAATTAGCATCATCATAATCATCATCACCACCACCACAATTATCCTCATGACCTTCATCATCACCATTATGTGTCACCATCATCAAACCACCCATGATCTTTGTTTTAACTTACAGAGAGGAACGATCCGATGTATATATATATATATATATATATATATGTGTGTGTGTGTGTGTGTGTATGTATGTATGTATGTATGTATGTCTATATATACACACATATAAATTGTTGATTGGGGTTTACGGTACGTTTAAATAAATCCCTGAATGGTAGACATACAAGGTCAGTAGACAACCAGATCTGTCCAGTTCAAAGGATCAATATTGAAAATAAAATATCAAACAAAAATTTAGTTAGTTCACAATATTTTCGGAGGGTAATTGAATAGTTTAAAGCCAATTTCCACTGGACGCGGTAACAGGACAATGATAATGGACGGGACTAACGCGACATAACTTACCAGGTACACAAAATGACTAAAGGCTAATATTTTTTCCACCGCGGCCGCGTGCCATTACTGCGTTCAGTTGAAACATGAAGGAAACTAATTCCTCCATGGTTGAAACATGGAGTTACAAAATAATTATAACTCCATGGTTGAAATCGCCTTCCAGAGTAATCGCGAAACAAACCACGTGATGTGGTACACTTGTGGACCTCTTGGACGCGGCCTGAGCACTGAGTGACAGAGAGTTATAAGTAAAATGACATTTTGTTACGAATCAAATTAATTTTTGATAATTTAAGGAAAAAATGGAATCGGAAAGGATGCTGATAAAGATACTATTGATTCATCAATTTATTTGTGTTTTTATCTTTTCAAACATTCGCAATAAACAAACTCGTCAAGTTGAAGTCGGATAATGCAGATGTCAAGCAAAATAAATGTCTTTTCTTATAGATGTGTTCCGAGTTAAGATTATCACTCATCTCATCATCTGATTCTTTATGAGTATTAATGTGGAAATTAAAATTTAATCTAACTGGATTAAGCAAATAATCCGTGAGATAAAGGATGACCCAATGAACCGAAAGCAATTAATACAATGACAACGAAACGGAAACCACCCGGTGCCGACTGGCAACAATTTGCACCAGGAGGGCGCTAATACAGATACTGTTCCAGATTATTTTTCGGGTGTCGCCCAACTATTGATATTAAAATAGTCCTATTAATAATACCCTTAAATTTAGGGCAGCAAATTTAAAGCTTTCCATAGTAAAACGTTCATTAATCATTGACAACTCATTAAACAAGATATATTAGAGAACTTTTCAATCATTTCCAATTCAGTTTTTTGGTGGTATTGGGTTACAAAGGGATTCATTTTTCTTAAGAATATAATTTTATCTATCATACTGTACAAAAAACAAACAAAAACATGTTTTGGCAACTAGGCAAGACGAACTAGTCCTCGATCTGAACATGGTGGAAGCAATTTCCGGAAACCAGGCACTTTCCAAATTCGTGTATATCGCACACCCCTTGAATATTGTTGGTATTGTATAGATCTTTGCTACACACAAAAACCCTCCCTTACTACATTTATCCCAGTATCCTTCATGCCCAATTGCCAAATCCTGACACTGGGACTGTAGAAGTTAATAAAATACACGGATCTACGATCCATCGACGATTACAAAATTACGATTTAAAAAAAAAAAAAAAAAAAAAAAAAAAAACACCACACAATAGCCTCATCGTTCGACCGAAAACGTGCATACTTAATCCTCCACGTCCGTAACGTTTGATCACTTAACTATAACGAAATTATTAATTTTACATCTTAAGAAAGCAATGATAAACATCTCTGAAGAACTCGATAATAGAAGCGAATGATTTAAACAATCGTAGCACGCATATTTATTGCAATTACATCCATTATAGTGCCAAAGTGAAAATACGCCGGCTTCTGAGTTTAGTTGATTATGGAGAGGAAAACGCGATCTTGCGCACAGGAAATCTGAATTTAAATTGACAATTCTGAAATAATATGTCCTTAACCTTCTTTATCTTAAATGGGCAGAACTATTTTAAAGTAACTGTTCCACGTTTCCCGCGTCACATTTGCGCGTAATTTAAATGCCACGTGCGAGTCCACAACCCGTTGTAAGCATTGCAGCACTGTATGGTAGTAAGCGTAGGGCATTCACATATTGAAATTGGCATAGAAAAATAAACGCGGGCACAGTTCTTATAATTAATGACGTAATCATATGGGATTGTGACTGGAATACTGGAGAAGTCAAAAACGACAAATAGCCTCTTTAAAAATCAAGAATTTATTCAATGCATTCGATAGAGAGATGAATGTATAAACCGAAATTTGTGCTGAATGTAGTAATTTACCTAATCTTTGCTAGACAAATTAAAACGATTTGTTTCCCCATTATTTTCTACTTCAACAGCTCGTGGAAACTTCTGAACGAGACAAGCAAAAATGAAGGGAAGATGTTAAACACGGCAAATGACATTTCAAGCGACGATACACAAGGTCAAAAAATATTAACCAGAAGATCATACATGCTAATTCTTTAAAACATTAAATAATTTGATTAATTCTACAAGATTAAAATACATTTTTAATAATGTAATAACAAACGAAAAAAGCTCGACCCATGAATTTGCCGATTAACATTCATAACCATCAAAGTTTCATCTCATTCACCAAAAAATATGTCAATATTTAAAAAAGTCTTCATTCATACAAAACTGTGTTATGCACCTATAAATATGTTAGCTTTATATCTTATTATTTTATAGCTTTTTTTTCTCCTTTTCTTGTGTATTTATATAATGAATAAATATCCTAATTACATTCTTTTCAAAAAAACCCCTTCGTTCGTTTTGGTTATAGAACAATCTTAGCTAAGCCAAGGATCCCGCTTATCTGCTTAAGCACCTGTACAAAACCTTTATATTACAGACACTGCCTGCATAATGGGAGTTAACCCACCTGCATTGCATGCTAACTAGTGGTACATTTTTCCTCCACTATACAGTACCCTCTCGTCCACTATGTTCTATTTTTGAACCTGATCTTTAAAACATCCTGGCAACTAGCGTAAATATCCTAGCAACAAAAATCTGCACATGGATTTCCTTAGCAGCATAATTAGAACATGTAATGAAATTAATATGAAAAAGGCTTGAAACATGTAAACAAAACATGCAATATAACAAGCTCTAACTGGTGAAGCTTGTGCTATTTCAGTAGCATATATGCAATGTCATTAAAAAAAAACCCCAGAATGCATGTATTTTATAAATAAAAAGCAGCTTAGGCCTACATACAGAGCATTTTTTTAAGGTAGGGTGTGTCAAACACACAGCCAGTGATGATAATGCATAAACAGCTGGTGACAATACGTCACTGCTTACATCCATCCTGCTTTATTATTTTTTGATCGTTCACCTTTGTCAAACATATAAATCAACAAAGCTATAAAGAAACTAACGTTGCTTTCTATATCGCTTCAGTTGAAGTTTATTATAGAATGAACATCAAGGTTACACTGCAATGAGCAATATACTACTGCACCTTCATCATTTATTGTATTTTTACTTTAACCTAAAAAGTAAAAATATAACCAGCTGTTTACGATGAAAACACTAAATTAATGTAAATCAACACTAAGAAAATTTAAACTAAAACTTTGCAAAACAATTTTAATTTACGAGTAATTTACATAATTTACAAAATTTGGTAAAATAGATCACTGTGAATGATTATCTATATTTTTTGAAACTTATTTGCATAATAATTCATCCAGGTGTTTCTTGTATGTCATTGTTTCTTGATTGTTTAGTGCAAAGGTCAGTGGCAGATAGCGATTTAAACATTTGTCCCTTCGTCACTTTTGAAGGTCTCCCTTGAAAGCATACTCTGCGAACAAAAAGAAAATGAAAATTTTAGTATAAGAAAAAACATGACTTTTAAAACATCAGTATTTTTTTCCCCTCATTCTTGGCCAATTGACGTGTGCCTCAACACTCATTTCTTTTTAAATTTGGTAAATTTATTCATGTACATTTATTTTCAATTGTTATTTTCTTTCTTTTGGGGTGGGGGGGGGTGGGTAGGGAATGGCCTGATTTTCCTGGGTCTGCCCTTGTATTAGACATATTTTTCTAATCAGCAATTAAGAGATGAAGAATTTAAATTTCAAACACAAATTTTTGAGATACTTATCACATAATGAGCTGACTTAGAAGTCTGTTTCATTACAGTATAATGACTGCTATTTCACACGAACCTACAAACCTACTTCGCGGTCCAGTCAAGGCTCCTTAATATATAGACCAATAGAGGGGGCTGTTTATCACATGGAGAGGGAAAATCCACCAAACCATCAATCATGTTTCCAAAACTTTCATTTTCATAAAGAAACAAATATGATGATTGCAGGCAGGGGCTGTCACCCTTAATTACTGTTCAGTATTTTAGAGTAATTGATTAAATCAACTTTCGCATTAAAAGGTAATGAATAATTATTCTATGTATCAAAAAACTACATAGCTATCTAAATGCTATATATATA